CCCAAGGAGATGACTAGGAAGAATTCTTAAGATATCAGCTGGATTCTTCTATCTATATATAATGATGTATCTCGCAAATCTCAGTAACATAATGTTCGTTTAGATTTAACTGTACGTCGGAAGGTAAAACTCGCATTGCTGTTTCTACTATTTCATTCATTTTTCTTCCCTTGAGATTGTTGGTCTGATTTAAAATTCATTTGATTACAGAATATTGTACTTTCTTAAATGTATTTCCTCAGAGAAAAGCCTATGGATGATATAACTCTGAGTCTTTGCATGTCTGAAAATGTCTTCCTTTCATACTGTGCTCAAAACATAAATCTTCGCTAGGATTGTTAAATGCCATCTTGAATGATTAATGATTATCATTTTTTCTATCTTCTACGTTCCTGTGTTTAGCAGATAGGGTATCCAGGGCTAGCATTCTTCTTCAGGAATATTTTTCTTCTGGCAAGATTAGAAGCTTGTGAGGTATTTTTTCCTGTATTCTTGAAATTTCATCCTACAATATCTAAAAAGCAGGTCTTTAAAAGAAATCTGAGACTCAGACAGTCTTTTCTACTCAAAGTGAAACTTCCTTCAGCTTAGAAAAGTTTCTTCTAGTATTTCTTTATCATTAACCTATTTCTTTTCCACTCTAAATCCAGCAGTGATTACCACTCACATATACAAAGTCTTCTGCTATGTCTGCCATCTTATTAATCTTATCACACATCGTTTCTATTTATGCATGTTTATGGATATTTGTTGATTTGTTTTCCTAAAACATTTACATTCTAGTAGTGACCATTTTATCTTTAATTCAGCTTTATATTTCTCAATTAAAATTTTTTTGTTAAAGTAGGTTACCTTTTCTCCTCTAATTTTTATTATGCAAAAGTTACCATCATTTTATTAACACACTGTTTTGTTCATTAGTTTCAACTCCACAGTATCCTCCTGTTTTGGTTGGTGGGCTTAAAATCCTTCCTTTAGGCTAAACTAGCTTTTCCTTAAAGGGTTTGTGAAGTTTCCCTGGGTATTTATGTTCACAGATTTCCAACTTCTTGATATGTACATAGGGGTATTTAGGTTACCTTGCCAGTGATGGACTGAGTCAGCAAAACTTACAATTTTTTTCCTCTTTAATGAGAAAGCAGTGAACATGTTCTCCTTTTTAAAAGAATGAGGCATAGGCAGGATTAGTGTGAATTTTTATTTTGCTTTTGAGTTAAATGGAACTATATCTTATTTCATAAATACGTCTGATATTGGCTGTTAGTTTTAGAAACACATTCTTTCTTTTTAAATATATTTCTCTTTACTTTGTAATTTTTTAAGAAGAAACACTGAAGAATTTTATCTCAGTGAAGGTTACACAGATACCATACATATGCATGTAAAAATTGCAGAGGTGCACATCGACAGTTCATGCACTTCACTAAATATATATGTTACAAATATGCCAATGAAAATTTTGACTAATACATCAATGAACATTTTTAAGTTTTCAATAAAGAGAAAGAAACCCAGGAATAGACATTAACTAATGGATTATTTAACATCCACTCTGTTGATCATATACCTTTTGTATTTTGTCTTTCTGTGATTTCCTATATAATTACAAATTTATTGGGCACTTAAGTAATGTGCCTAATAAATAAATAATGATCATTAACCTTTTTAATTAACATATAAACCAGCAATTTTGTTTCTTTTACAGGTGTTAAAACTAATACTTAAAGAGTTCAAGTAAAGTAAATGTTTAAGAGTTTTTATTCAAATCTAAAGTAACATAGTGCTAAAATTGAATTTTCCCTACGTTTGGCACAAATCATCCCTATACACTTGGAAAAAGCTTTGCTAAGGTTCACTTGTCAAAATGATGAAACAGAAAATTTAGTAATTTAATAGAATAAAAGTGACTCATAGTCAAGTATGCTACTGTTCGGATGCATAGGGCAAGTATGCTGAGATTACTAGGGAAAAGGTGAACGCTCAAATTCAAGGACACTGAACCAGTTTGCTAGTAGGTCTAAGAACACAATTAAGAACTGCTGTTGGTTGCTGGAATAAACAAATTTATATTTTGGGAATAACAGATTCTAAAAGCAACCCCATTAAAGGAAATTATGTTTTAGATTTATACAGGGTAATGAATTGCATGCAAATTATCAGCCTTTAGCTAGTCATTTGTTGGTATTTTGTTGGTATTTTCTTTACCTCAACTGGACTTCGGAAAAGTGCGTTTAAAAAGTATTTACTGCCATGCAGGGACTTAATTATTTAAAACAGGCAGAATTTGGAATTTTGATTCCTTCATGACCTTTAGACTTTCCTTCACACTAAAAATATTATTACTAATAATAATGAAGTGTGAAGTGTTAGGAATGCTAGTTTACTTTCATCATGGCCTTTGCAATAGCACTAATCATTTGTGTAAGCTATCTCCAAGTTTGAGGAAATATGTCCATTGTCAAAAGCCAGAAAATAGGGACAAAGGTTGATCCTGAAATACATTAGGAGAAATTATGTCTTTTGCTGTTGTGTGGTGCTTCATCCGGATTTTCTGGAATAGTGTTCTAGAGCTCCACAAGTATGTCTTTGTAGGTTTTTTGAGGAACCTTCATATTGATTCCACAGTGGTTGTACTAATTTACATTTATGGAAGCGTTCCTTTTTCTGTACATCCCCACCAGCATATTTCATTTTATTTATATTCTTGATGATCACAATTCTGACCAGATGTACCAATCCTTGGTATACACTGAAGGAATTAAAGTCAGCATACCATGGGGATTCCTGTATGCCCAAGTTTATTGTGGGACAAAGTACAGTCTTCAAGATATAGAACCAGGCAAGCTGCCCACTAGCAGATGAACAGATAAGGAAATGTGCTATATATAAAAGATAAACACCATTTTGCCTCTTACAGAAAAATAGATGGGTCTGGGGAGCTTCATGTCGAGTGAAATAATTCAGACTCAGAAAGATAAATATCTCCTGTTCTCCCTGACATGTGGCGTCTAAAATAGATAACAAGAAAGTAGAAGGGAGACTATTAATAAATAAGAGGAAGGGGCTGGGGATTTAGCTCAGTGGAAGGGCGCCTGCCCGGCAAGTGCGAGGTCCTAAGTTCGATTCCTGGTACCAAAATAAATAAATAAATAAACAAGAGGAAGGGAAGAAGGAGCAGAAGAAAAGGGAATAAGAAAGGGGCGGTAATGGAGGGACATGGTTAAAGTGTGCTATGTGCGTGTACAAATCTGCCAAAATGAAGCCTGTTAATCTATATAGCCAATATATATTAATGAAAATGTTGGGAAAATAGATTAATATTTTAATACTCTAATAAATGAAATACATGACAAAGTTCTGAAAACAATGCCTTATATATAATTCATATTTAAGAAATGTTAGGTGTTTCTCTTCTTGTTCTATTTTACTACATCACAATTAAATTTTTAAACACCTATATTCCACACGAGGCAGTAAACGTCACATGGAATGGAAATTATTTCACTTATATATATTTATCATAAGTAAATACGGGGCCTGCCACATGCTCTAAAAGAATGTTAACTAAATAGATAATTTCTAAATGCTACTAAATAGAGAATTTCTAGCTATTTTTAGCATTTTTGCCTAAAAACAAGTGATTGAGAGATTCATTAATGTAATTATTCAACAAATAATTATTGCCCAGCTATTATGTGTCAGGAACTAAGACACTGTTGAGTCTAAAATAAGGGTAAGCAAGAAAAGACATTGTCTTTCTAGGAGCTGAAAAGGTGAGATACATATTGTCTCACAAAAATATCATTGTGATCAATGTTGTAATAGATACATGGTGAAATAATACAGCGGGAGTGAGATAAATATTAAAAGAAGAACTTCTCAGAAAGCCTGTCGTCTTGACTGATTTTCCATTGATCTGCCAAGTCACTGTACTGGGTGACCCAAACTGGAAGTCTGCCGCTGTTACAAGGAGCCGCTCCCTAGTCGTAGGGAGCCGAAAAGCGCTGCTAGTACCTTCCTCAGCTCTCCTCTGTTAATTAATAGGTATAGCGGTACTGATCATCTTGTCAGAATAGTTCACTTGCACTTTAAGACGGGGGATGAGTCATGGAACAATAGAGATCACTGTGACAAAGGTGGCTCCAATGCCTGGACAGGCCTGGGGCCACACTGAGCTCCGGGCCCAGTCAGGCCACTGCACCTTCCCGGACAGGGACAGCTCAGATTTCACCAGAGAAGTGATGATGTTTAAGAAAAACCCATCACTTTACAATTTCATCAATGCTGGGATGTTCCTTAAATCATTTCCACACAGGTCTCTAAGCCTCTCTGTCTCTGTTGAAACCCTTGTGTGGATAACGTTACTTTTATTTACTTATTTATTTTTTATTTTAAAAATAAAAGGAGGAAAACATTAACAGACAGACAACCTTTTACAAAACGGCAAAAGAACAGTACAGACAATACAGAGTTACAAACAAAGCGGTAGGAAATTAACAATGCTTGTTGTATTACATATTGATATTTTCAAAGTGGTTTCTCATGAAAACAGATAGACATGCAATGTTGATCAATCAAGGACTCATTGACAGTTTCTTTCAGCAAAGAAATAGAAGACAGTAGAACAACTACATTAACTATTCTGTCTATACATACATACAAAATTTCTCCTTCTTTCCCTTCTCTTTTCCCACATCCCAGTTGCCCTTTACCCTCGAGTGTTTTCCTATCATTTCACAATGTCTATCATACCTCCTAGTTTAAAGTAACTCTTTCAGGTTTTACACTAGTGAAACAATGCGGTGCTTGCACATGCAGGTCTGGTTTACTTCACTCAGGAGTATGCTCTCTAGTTACTTTTAAACTTCTGCTTCAGTTTGCAGCCGCTAAGCGGGAGAACTGGGTGCTGTTTAAGGAATTAAGTACTCTGTCCTCAGAAAAGTCCCGCAGAGGAACAAGGGGCTCAAGCCCTGCCGCCAATCCCACTCTTCCTGACTTACCTGTTCCTAAAGTAGTACTGGTTTCCTACAAACCCCGAGCGAGCCTGCAGCCGGGCTAACGTGGCCATGAACTCCGCCCAGGCTCCCGGCTGGTGTTACTCCGTCTCCGTGGCAACCGGGCTGAACCATTGGCCAGTCCCGGAGGGTTCACTTTTCTTTTCTTTATTTCACCGTGATTAGGTTTTAAGAACACCAGAAAAAGAGCTAGGAATTTTTGGCTAGTGAAAGTTTAATTTATTTCTCTTTTCTGTCAGTGAAACGCTGCCACTAAAAGAAGGCAAGCAGTGTTGGGGGGCGGATTGATGGTTGCGTCCAGCTTCCGGTTTCCGCCTCTGGGCCGCTTCCGGAAGCTCTCCTTAAAATACTGAACTGCTCTTTGGAAGTCACCCGGCCGGAGTAGTTGGAGTCAGTTCTCGGGCCTGAGCCTCCAGGCCAGGCTCCTGGGTGTCGTTAATGTTCGGGGCCGCCGGGCGCCAACCGATCGGAGCTCCAGCCGCCGGGAACAGCTGGTGAGGCTGGCGGCCCTGGGGAGGGGCGGTCAGGGGCGGGTGCCCCGGCCGAGGCCGCCGGACTGCCGCTGCGGGGCGGGAGTGGTGACGGACGGCGAGGACGTGCAGGCCGGGGCCGCTCTCCTGCCCGGCGCGGACCGCCTGGAGGAGGCGTTTTGGTGTGTGCTGAAGCCGTGTGGAGGAATGCAGTACATGTTTGCCGGTGGCTTGTGTCACACTTAGTGTATTGTAGTACCAAGCGGTTCCCGGCCCCTGATTGCCGGCAGCACTAGGGACAGGGTTACTTTACCGTGATCCCGGCCCTCCTGCCCATTTTCTCGCTGAAATTACCCGAGGATACTAAATTTGTTGGAATCTCAGAAATCTACATTTCTAGAAATTTAATAGTGGGAGAGACAGCAATCTCTGACCCCCACTTCCCTTTCTGTGGCTTGGGTATGGGTCCCGTTTTCCGCTACCTTGAGCGTTCTAGGGTTAAGTATGAGTTTGGTAGCGTGGCCATAGTTTCATCTCTCCGTTACTACTTTAGAGTAATACGCTTGCTCTAACTTCTCGGAGTGCTCACGGATTAACTTTATCCTTATGGCAAAGTTGGTATCCTGTGATACCACAAGATCCCAAAATACTTAAATGATTTGTCCACATTCGCCCTGGATATTTTAGAGATAAAAGTTATTCCTCTTTTTTAGTTTAGTTTTGTAGTTGGAAACTCTGTGATGCCTGTCCTTTTTTTTTTTTTCCCCCTCTCGAGCCTTTTTCTTGCAAGACAAGCAGTGAAATAAGTAAATTTTCCACCGACAACGCTCAAACTACAGTTTTGACCAAAAGATGGAAGAATGTTGCCTGAAAGTACATATCCATTCCTAGATTCTGCAGAAAGTAGAAAATGAGGAATTAGTCTGTGATCGCAAAGAAAATTTCTGATCACCTATATCTGAAAAGTTGAAAGAGTATCTTGTCCCAGTTACGTTGAGTTGGAGCAGATCATTCTTCGTTCGTTGTATAATGAATGTAGATGTGGTTAAAGAACCTTTCATAATCACATTTTCCAGTAAGAAAAGCAGAGAGCACTTTTTGTAATGAGACATTTTTTTTGAATGGCATAATTAAGGTGGAATAAAAAACAGTTTTTTAAGTGCTTGATGTTATTACTTCTGGCAGTTGTATGTACTTGTGTAGCCCACACAAAACAAGATAAAGGACATTTCCACCCCCTGTAATTACCTTTCCAGTATACCTGTCTTAATCACCATTTGATGTCTTGTTAAAAGAGGAAGACAAAATATGCTGTACAGATTGTCCCCCTCCTTGAATTGTAGGTAAGTTATTACTTGGTTAAAAAGTATGATCCACACAGTTCCTTGCTGTACCTTCCGCTTCACTCCCAAATCGTGGAGGTACTTGTGTGCAGTGTCTGTATAATGTAGCAAAACCCTGAGCTCTCTTGAAGAGGCTCTCCTCTTTTTACTTCTTGACGGACAACTCAGCCCTTTTAATGGCAGCAGAGTATAACTGTAGCATCTGGCACTTGGTGTTTTTGGATAAAATTCTAAAAATCTTGCCTGATTTGGCAGGATGAATGTGTTACAGAACACAATAACCTTTATTTTCTAGTTTAGTATTTCTTACTGGAATTTTCTTTTTCATTGATTGAACAAATATTTGCTAAACCGTACACGTTTGTTTTACCCCCATGATGAAATCTCAGTGCAGCTGGGGTTGCTGCTAAGTTATTACAGTACTTGGTGCCAGTGCTTGCATATATATATGTCATCCTGTGTAAATCCTTGCAGGTAGGTGCATTACTCTCTACATTTTATATAAGGTGACCAAGAAGCAAAGATCATTTAAACAACCTGCCTAGATATCTTACTTGCGGTGATTCCAGTGTGCCTAAAGAAATTCCAAACCATCTGGTATACTGCCTGCGTATCTGAATAATGTACAGCATCTCTAGGAATAAGCGAACCACAAATTGATGCTCAAATTTGTTAGCCAACCTGGAATTTCTGAGGCATTTAAGGCCCGTCTTGATGTTGTAAAAACATTTCTCCAGTGTGGAGGTTGGTTTCTTAATTTTTAGGCACCAAATGGAAAAATATAGATGATTTTTCTTTTAAACTATGGTATTCTATTTATTTACCTCTGTTACTTGCCTTTACTTTTTTACTTCAAGGCCATTAAAATAAGCTATCAGCTCTGCTTTTATTTCTGCAGTTTTATTTCTCTTGGTATTTTGATTTTCTTTAGGTCTAGAAAATTGCACAGTAAAAACTGCATTTTTTAATAACTCATTTTTTTCTTGAACTCAATTTCCTCCTGTCAGTTTTGTATGATTCATAATTCTCTTTCAATTATGGATCAAAGCAATAGCTAGAATGAATTTGAGCAAGTAATTAATTTTGCTATAGCTTCCTAACATCCTATTTATGTCAAGCTAGAAACCGTTAAAAACATCTTTGATAATTTTCTTTTACCCTCACATTTACTTAACTAAAAACTTCAGAGTTAATGTGGCAGAAAATTTGAAGTCCAAACTGTCAGAATTTTTCAGCCAAGTCATATTTTTCTTTTGCCATTTGGCAGCACACATTGGATAGTTTGCTCATCCTGAAGAGTTTTAAAAACTTACGTGTTACACAGTGTGGTAGGACTTGAATTAATGTTCAGTTGTCTTCTCATTCATTGTGTAGGAATTCAGGTTATGTTATGTAGTCACTAAATATTAAGTGAGCATATATAAGCAATAAGCAAGACTCATTATGTCCTCTACCTAAAATGTACTTGAATATACGGATGTCGACAAGAATTAGGATTCCCTTTTAGAGCCTAAGCCTTTGTCTTGTTTTAGTCTGACTTTGTTTCATTGAGGCAGTTTCTTCTTCGAGTAGTTTGCATTGTGGAAGCATTTAGAAGAAATAAGAAAGTTTCTAATGGCTCTTAAAGTCATTAAATGAAGTAACAAAAAATTCGAAACAACAGTCCTCAGATTTGAATACAAATGAACTTTCCTTATTAAACCATTAAATTGCAAGTTAGAATTAGACTTTTTTCTTTAAAGCTCCTTGTGGCTTGGTTTTCAGCAAGTGGCCAGAGTAGGGAGAATAGAAATCTTGCTGAGGTCCTTGTGCATGGTGGCAAAGGTGACAGGGAGGAGCTCCCAGCAGCACCTGCAGTTGAGCACCAGGCAGAGCAGCTTTGCCCCCGGGGGAATGATTTTTTTCTGTTTGATAGAGAACCTTGTGACTGAACTGGGAAAGAGTGCTTTCCTTACCCTTTTTCCTTCTCCTGGTATCTGTATATTAAAATAGGACTAGCTTAAGTATATACCTTTTTTTCTTTTTTAAACTTAGGGGTTTGGGAACTTTTTAAAGCTTGATAGTGTCCGTAAGGAGTCCAGGCACTTCCTAAAATGGTATGCAACTGCTTGGCATGTGTCTGTCATTTCTCCCTCTATCCCCAAATCAGAATAGTTTCTGACCCCTGAAAGGTGGTAGGCCTGTGCTTGTTGTTATGGTAACCTCTGGATTTCACATGAGATCACACCTTGAAAGCTTCTGGCTTGCTGCTTTGATGCTCAGTTTCTCTTGTTTGTAGGCAGAGGTTTTGAATGATGAAATCATTTCTCTCAACAGTAAGTACCCACTCTGATCCTCAGCAAGTCCCTTCATGGTAGAACTTTCGCTTATTTTTGTGATGAGTGAACAGAGTATAAGTACTCTGTCCAAGGTTCCATGGCTAAGAATATAAAGGAATTCGGCTTCCATATTCATAGCCTTGATCCTAAAGCTCGTGTTCTCGATATAATTTCCTCCCAGCCTTCTTTTTTCTTTAGAGAATACTATTCCATATTTATTGCCTTGTGTTAATGTAACATTGCAATGAATCATTTATATGTTTCAGAAAAAGGTAGTTCTTCCTTATCCCAGTCTACCTCTTTCAAAAGAAAGAAAGTTTAATTCTGATTAATAGCTTATTTAGATAGATAGGTTAAGGAAACCTTTACTGTAAGGATTATTCTTAATTTCTTAAAATTCCCCCCCAAATACATAAAAGGAAAATAACTAAAATATAAACTTAATAAATTAGTAGGTCTAGATATGAAATTATCTTGATCAATACTCATACCATTATGGATAGAAATTCACAAATTCCAACTAACAGCATAAATCCTAATCAAATTTAAGGTACTTCTTGTGGATCATATTGTGTTTAATTAGTCAAAATGTAGCCCTTACTGTGGGATCTTTAATTTTTACCATTTGCGTGGTTAGTTACCAGCGTAGTCCATGCTATGAAGTGTTAATTTTAATGTGTGTTGTTTGCCTGTTTGCTGAATACTTTTTGCACTAATTAACATTTCCTGACTTGTGAGTAGTCATAGCATGGGTCTGTTAATATTGGTCTTTACTGCATATTGTCTTAGGACAATGTTATTATACACATTGGCTTGTATGCATATAGAATCCAACACAGAAATAGTTCTTTCTTTCCTTTAACTTTTGAAAGACAACTAAAGTTGTACTTAGCAACTTACATTTAGTTTTCCACTAATAAAATTACTTAATTTGTAGAAGAAATAATTCATGTTTTACAGAGGTGAAGATAAGAATTTTACTATATACTGAGTGATGAATATTTGATTTCTTTCCTTAACTACATATTTAGTAGCTGTACCCAATTAGTTCTAGTCCTTTGGGGAGGACTTAGTTGTTACTAAGTTCCTCCTTAAGGAAACATTTGAAGAAAATTTCTAAACTCAGTGCCGTGTTTTCTTCATTAATTGATCTTCCTGACTTGCAGGTATACATTTTTAGGAAGACCTTTTCCTGAAATGATTAGAGCCTGGTAGTAAGGTACCCAAGGACAGCAAATCATTTACTTACTGAATATTTAGTATTGCTTAGAAAAAGACAAACATACAAACTTGATTTTGAGGGCAAAAATTCTTAAAAATGGCATATCAAGTATTATATCAATCATGTATTTTATGTTGTTCAGCATAATCTACTGTCACCTGAAAAGAATGCTCATCTGCTTATTTTTTTTTTTTTAAATCCAGCTTTCTATAGGTAGTGGGATTATAATTTTGTTTGGGGATATTCTGTTCATTTGGACAACCTTTATTTTTGTTTTTTAGTAACGGGAATTGATCCCAGGACCTCGTGCTTGCCAGGCAGACACTGTGCCACTGAGCTATATCCCCGGCTCAATTTGGACAATCTTAAGTAAACTATTAATGAACTGTTGTTTTAGACGTTATACCCAGTGCCAGCTGTTCCCAGAAGATTTTACTTCCAAGTGAGTTTCAATTGAAAAGAAATTGTTTTTAATGATGTAAATACTAAACATCCAATTAGTTGAATAGTGCAATTCAAGCTAATACTCTGGATGTTCAGTAAATACATATTTATACAGAAAAGTTCTGTATTTCCGGTTTGTTCTCCAGATAGGAAAGATCTTACTTAGAAATAGTTACTAACTATGTTTAGGGTACCGTGATTCAATACAGTATTCTTCTATTGCTTTAGTGCAGCTGTCAAAGCAAAGAGGAAGAATGGACCCTTACGATCACTTTTCTGTGTGACCTGATCACAGAATGGACCCTTACGATCCCTTTTCTATGTGACCAGTTGGTACCTGTTTTACCTGAGTGATGCTGGCGAAGCATCTCCTGACATTTAGTGTCAGTGCTGGTTGCATTTAGAGAAACAAAAGACAACTATTCCCCCCACAGTAATGGGCATAGACGCCTTTGGGTTATCACTGTAGTCAGAAATGCAGCTAATTCAGATGTGCCGCACACGTATGTCTTAGTCTAACCTGGGTTCTGAAGCTGGAGTTATACATGGAACCTTTATAAAGGAAAAGAAAATCGCAGCTGTCTTCAGAATTTATTTACAAGATACATATTTGAGTCGCTGTGGTTTTAAAAATTATAAAACCATGTAGGCTTTTAGTTTATACACTTAGATTGCCAAGGGGGAGAAATCTAGGAAATACAAACCACGTTAATCGGAAAGCAGTCCTGTGTCCTGCACTCACCCACAGTATGCATTCTGCTAACCACCGAGGGGTTGGTTCCTTGAGCTCAGCTGGCCTTCACTGCCTGTACCACCTTGTGTGGCTTTAGGTTCCCTTCCCCCTTTCTCCACTCAGAATAATATAACACCTAACAGTGAATCTTTTGGCTCTTACACAGAGATGTGTTAAATCTGTCTCAATGATTAAAGCAGGAGTACCTGGTAGTAAGTCAGTGATAAGCACTGAAACGGCGTAACTGTTGGCTGCATGCGTTGGTGCTCTAGAATCAGCCTGCTAGAGTTCAAATCCTGTCTGTATGGCATATATGTGTCACGTTGTGAAAACAGTCCCTGTGTCTGCATTTCATCGGCTACTTGAGGACTGTCGTTTGAGAATGAAATGATGTAATACTATCTGGATAATGCATTTAGAAATGGGCCTGGCAAACAGTAAATACTCATATGTGTGTATTATAAACTGTGAATTCACTTGAATCTTTGTGTGCTTGGTTTGAGGTTATCATTAAATGCAGAGAAAAAGTTGCATGTTGTTACAGGGCACTTGCTAGTGTGTGACACTGAAGATGATGAGGGTGTGTCTATGGAGAGCACATAAACTATGGTTTCGCAAACATGCCTACCTGCCGACCATATTTGCTCATTTATGTATTCCTCCTGGCTGCATTTGCTTTATAATGACACCTTAAGCAGTGAGAGATCCTAGTATTTGTTACTTGGACCTTAGCAGAAAAATGTGTATACCTGTGGTATAGTCTAGAGAAACTATATAGGCCCTTGGAGGACTGTGGAGAATATTTTGATCCCTGGGTGACTCTAGAACTTGACTTGAGAAGGGACCGCCTGTGATCTTCGTAGGAGAGGTATCTGTCCCATTCGCCATGTTTGAAAAGTAAAATCAGATACCTGTGCTCCTTATCACACTGCTTATCTAAAACCTCAGAGAGTTGGGTAGGAAAGAACCCTATAGTTTCTTAAAGGCCCCGAAGAGCACTGATGCTTGTCCTTGTGGACACTGGGCAAAAGTGACTGCTGTGGAGTGAACTGATGATGCTCCTTTCGGGCCAGTGAGGCTACAGTTTTGATATGAGAATAGTTTGTGCGTCACTGAGTTACGAGAAGAGTGGAGCCTAAACATATTCCTAGTGTTTGGCTAAACTTCCTTTTCTTTATTTTCTTGAATATACCTGGCTGTGTTTCTGTCTGCTTCTTGTAATCATGAGGTTGAGTTTAAAACACATGGTAAGTGGATCTCATGCTTCTTTGCTTAGAAATTAGTGGGCAGGGAGTGGACTGATAGTGTTTTCCTATGTACTGTAGGAAACTGTGTTCTAGAAGAAGGACAAAAGGAGACCAGGGAACAGAGCTTTTCCATAATTACATGGTAAAACTATGAAACTACAGGAATCTTGGAGCCGGATTGTGCTTACTCTGTCTTGTAGTCATTTCTGTGTTTAATAAAATAGCACCCGAGCAGAGGCTTCAAAAGGAGTTCGAATATTTGAACCAATAGAGACAAATGGATTGTGGAGCACAGAAGGCCTCACATGAGCTCATGAGTGAAGAGGACTTTATATTTTCTAATACGTTGAATAGGGAAACTCAAACACTTCACAATGTCTATTAATTTTTAATTTAGAGTGAATTGTGTGCTGTAAAAAACTAGATGTGTGCAGTTGAGGGTGAGTTGGATTTACTTCTTTTTTTTTCTCTGAAACACTTAGGCATTTCAGTAGAACTATGGAGGAGCTGGTTCACGACCTGGTCTCAGCCCTGGAGGAGAGCTCAGAACAAGCCCGCGGTGGGTTTGCCGAAACGGGGGACCACTCTCGCAGCCTGTCCTGCCCTCTGAAACGCCAGGCCCGGAAAAGAAGAGGGAGGAAGCGGAGGTCCTGCAATGGCCACCACCCATGGGAGACTGGGTACTGCCTAAGCGAAGGCTCTGATTCCAGTTTAGAAGAACCAAGCAAAGACTATAGAGAGAGTCACAATAATAATAAGAAAGATCACAGTGACTCTGACGACCAAATGTTAGTGGCCAAGCGCAGGCCGACCTCAAACCTAAATAATAATGTCCGAGGGAAGAGACCTCTGTGGCAGGAGCCCGACTTTGCCGTTGACAACCTGGGGACCAGAACTCTGCGCAGGAGGAGAAAGGTAAAGCGCATGGCGGTGGATGTCCCACAGGACATCTCCAGCAAACGGACAATGACCCAGCCGCCTGAGGGCTGTAGAGATCAGGACATGGACCATGACAGAGCCTGCCAGTATCAAGAATTTACCAAGAACAAAGTGAAAAAAAGGAAGTTGAAAATAATCAGACAAGGACCAAAGATGCAAGACGAAGGCGTCGTTTTAGAAAGTGAGGAAATGAACCAGGCCAATAAAGACAAAATGGATTATGAAGAGCAAAAGGTCTCAGATGAGCTCATGAGCGAAAGGTGAGCAGAAGGTATTTCACGTTTTCTAAATATAAAAGTGTTTGTCTGCAGTGTTTGTAGTTGGATGTGTTTTATATGTTAATTAATTCTATTTTAAAATAATTATAAATTGTAATAATGGTAGTGATATTACTGTTTAGCCATGGTTATATTTCCTTAAAATTTGTGATGTTTTTGCACAAAGCAAAATTGCTTATTTGATTTACATGAAGTCTTTTGATTGTGTTATAATGACTTAATTTTCAGCTACAAGGAGAAAAAGAAATAGATTTTCAGTGGGAAAACATGTGCTTTTGAACAGCGGTACATTTACAATGCTCAGTCTTAGATGTAAATTATTTATTTGTTTAATTATAGAGCTTTAGCCATTGGTGTTTTTTATAATATACAATTCATCAGTCTATTCTGATTCCTGAGAATTAAAAGTTTATACCGCTTTGACATGTATGTGACTTGCTATTTTAAAGTACCTGCAGTTTGGTAGGCATTCTGCTCACTGATGAGTTGCGAGACCCAACTCATGATCTAGAAACACCTGACTTTGTTGTTAGAAATCTGGAAGAAGAAACGATCCTTTGCCAGTTAGTCTGATCCATTCTAGGAAGCACTTATACCACTTTGATAACCATTGAGTACTATTATGACAGCGTCAAAAGGTAAGTGATCTTTTTTCTTTCACATAGATTTGACGGTGCTTGTAGGAAATGAGATACTGACAATGTTCATCCTTTTAGACGTGTGTCCTTAAAACCAAGTGTATAACCATGAGCCAGAAAAAAATTTCCTTATAAATGGAATGGGAACTAGTATTAAATTATTGATTTGTAGGACTAGGATAATTTTAATTGTGTGGCCTCTGGGATATTTTCATTTTGTTTTGTTTTATTTTGTGTATAAATATTACAGACATGATTAGGACCTGCTGGAGTTTATAGAATGACTTACTTATTAGACACTGTTTACTAGTCATGTAATTTTTCTTAAAGAAGTAAAGTATAGGTAAAGTAGAAAAAATATTTCAGGAAGGCTTGAAAAATTATAGTACCTGCTTTTCTTTCAAGAAAGTTTTGATACTTTTACAGGGGAATGACAGTTATTTGTTTGCTAGTCATGGGCCATTGTAGCTGAGGACCACTGAGGCTGACTTAAAAGTAATTATCTTTCAATTTTTGGGGCCCAGATAAAATTCTTAATTCTGGATTATTTACAGTTAGATTATTTGCTTTCTGTACCGGTTGTGCAAGCCCCTTTATTTATTACTTTTTGATTTCCTTTTATTGATCTGTATCTTATATCCTCACCTTTGAAACAGAAATGAGATGAAACTCCCCTCATTTATTTCTCTTCATTGTAAAAAAAATTTTCTTGAATACCTGCCAAGTATGATGAGGCAATATGGTTGCTCAGATTACCCTGCAGTCCATGTCCTGATTTTTTTTAAAGAAAAAAAGAAAACAATAACAAAAAACAACAATGAAGACAAAAACAATACAAAAACAATAAAAACAATACAGAATTTCAAAACAAGATGATAGAAATTAACAGTGGCTGTTATATTACATATTGTTATCTTCAACGAAGTTGCTCAGATCATCAGATGCAAGAATACAAGATCAATCAAACAATTAAAGACAATAACAAGTAATAAAAAGCACATTAGAAAGGATACAGAGCTTCATCAAACAAGATGGTAGGAATTCAGCAATGGCTGTCATGTTGAATATTGTTGTCTTCAAAGCAGTTGTTCCGATTACCAGGTATAAGTATGCAAAATGGGTCAAGATAAAAGAAAAAAAAAAAAAAAACAATTTAAGCATTAACTGTTCCTTTCACCAAACCAACAGGCATTATCCCAGCTATCCTTGTATATACATATATATTTTTTTCTTTAATTTTAAAGAGAAAATATCAAAAACAAAATGACAAAATCATAGGCATTAACAAAACAACATAAAAGCAATAAAATTTCCTCTCACCTGTTTTGAAATTCTGTATCATGTCCTGATTTTTAAAGCAGGTATTTTCAGTCTTGCATGAAGTAAAAAATGCTTATTTCCTCTGATTTTGAATTTTTGTGTTTAATATTCTTTTGTTACTTACGCATTAGGGGCAGATTGCCTCTGTGGAAAGATTGCTAATTCATTCAGCCTTTTCTTAACGAGAATAATTATTGCCCAAAGTTTTCCTATTATAAAACACTTCATAGAGTCGGGTATATAGCTCAGCGGCACGAGCATCTGCCTGGCAATTGCAAGGTACTGAGTTCAATTCTTTTTACAAAATAAATAAATACATAAATAAATAAATTAAAAAACACTGTATTTTCTTGGAGCTAATTTATAAGTAAGAACAACTTTGTGTTGTTGTTGTACGTGTATCTCAGATTTAACACACATCCAGTGCACTAACATGCAGTCGCTGGCGGTACCTGGTCTAGTAACAGACTGTCCTCAGCGGCCTCCTGGACTGGAATAGCCAGGCCAGCAGTTGTTGCGAATGTGACTCAGTGCGGAAGATAACCCTGGGGGAAGACTTCGCGAAGGAGCTGGGCTGTGAAGCGAGAATGAAGCCTGTTGGAAGCGGAGGGCCGCGGAGGAGAGAGGGAAGGGGCAAGTCTAGGCTGAGGGGGCAGGTTGTGCAAAGGCCCGGCTCATGAGCAGTGCATGTCTCTCATTAGCAGTGGACTGCGCAGCCCGGCATTCACATTTGTGGAAGGCCTGCGTGCTGTGGTAAATAGTTAAGATTTCATTAGATAGGCCGGGAGAAATCAGAGAAGGATTTGTAGCAGTGAAAAAACTCAGTATGCATTTATTGAGATACAGTAATCTCGGCAGCAGCGCTTTGTTTACCCTTGCCTGACCTCCAGTCCGTCTCGCCACAGGTGAAGTCCTGGCTTGCTAGTGGACCAGAGGAAGCTCTGCGGGCAGGTTTAGGAGACAGGATCAATAGGAGGGGGCCTGACTGTATTTGGGATGGGGACACTACTCTCAGAGATGCCCAGGTTTCTGTCTTAGAAAAAATAGAGAAAGAACAAGAAGTGGGATTAGTGTACCTCGGTTTATTCAGCAAGCATTTATGGAATATGTTCTCATCTGAATACTGTACTACAAAAACTGTACCAAAAAGGAGGTACAAGATAAACCATAGTGACCAACAACTGCTAAAGATGAAAAACTTCTCTTTTAAATCTTTGTTCTGATTTATTGAGCATAGCAATAAGCACACGATGTATATGGAGCAATCAGCTAGAGATCAGTGAGGTGCAAGGTAAAGAAGGAAACATATAGTGGACCTACCTGTACAAATGTCATGAAGACAGACAAGGTTCGTGAAGGCCTGAAAGCTGCTGTGAGGGAGGAACTTCTGATTTCCTGTGTCTTTGGGACAATGGGCGTGTGGGGGATAGAGGAGCTGGGCATACCAGTTGGAGACAGAACATAAACAAAGGGAGTAGAGATGAGGTTGGGAGGAATTTAAATGGAAACAGATCCACTGAAAGTTCAAGTCTGAATTCAGTAACACAAATGTAAGGTAATAATTTTAGAATTTTGTATAGAAGCTTGCCTTCTTAGAGTGTGTGCATATGCATGTGTATAATTCATGAACTTTTCTCTTTTATGTAGTTTCAAGTATACAGAGCAATTGCAAGGATAGTTTGGTGAATTACGTGTATCACATTCCTGCATACTCCACATTTAGTTTCCCGTTTGATACAGTTAAATTGTAATTACTGTGATAACCTTTGACACAGGTAATGAACCAATATTGGTATATTTTAAAGTTCGTATTTTATTACACTTTACTTTTATTTAAAGCCCTTTTATATTTTGCAGTGTATAACATTATTTTTAGTTAATCACTTATATGTTGAAAAGATAAACCTGGCTCTATGTAGGATAGATTAGAGGGGTAAATCTAGCTCAGAAAATCATGGTACCAAAAAGAAAAATTGCGCATTTATTCAGTCTGCAAATCTGAATTCTGAAAAGCTGTGAAAAACTAATTTGTGGCCAGACTATATTTAATGAACTATATTTAATATGCATAAACATTTGTATAGTTTGAAAAATATAGTGGGTTTGATTACAGAGTGCTACCGTAGGTTCTTCTAAGGCACTTTCAAGTACGCCTTTCTAAAGTTGGGGCAATTTTGAATTTTAAACACATTTTGCCCCAAGAGTTTCATAAAAAGCTTAGAGCACTTCATTTGGGTTGTGTTGATGGAGACAACAAGCAAAAGAAAAACAGGAAGAGTATCAATGGTAGTTTGGACAGGTACCAGTAGAAAGCTGAAGTTTCTGAAACTTTTAAAAATAATCTAATATTACTATGCATAGATGAGTGTATGTGCTTGTAAATAAGATGATATGGATTTAATGCTCTCAAATATTACTTTATTACCAAGTGTGTAGTATAAGGAATTTCAGATATCCACTTAATTTGAAGTTAAAAGATTCTAATCCAGAGCTCCTTGGAATGTACTTTTTGGTAAATTCTTAGACTTTTCACTAATATTGATATTTATTTTTAAAAATCAAATAACTGAAAAATTGATGTTTTATATTCAGACAATATGTGTCATTTCAGCCTTTGCAATAATTGTAATCTTATTTATCTCAATTTAAATATTTTAAAACAGGTTAAGATACCTCTTTTTTACTAAGTCAGGTTACATTCTTCTGTTAATGGAAGTGATTATTGCAGTATAAAAAAATCACCTGGGGAAATTTCCTACGTGGTTAAAGAGAAGAATTTCAGTTAAAAATAAAGTGTATGAGAATTTTTAAAGAACATCACTCAGTCTTTTTCAGAGGCCAAAACTCTGATTATATGTTCATGTTTTCTTGCCATTTGAAGCTAGCTAGACTGTCATATGAGCCTCTGTCAGAGCTCAGAGTGAGTTCAGAGTGACAATTTGTGCATGTTGCTTGTTTGTTTTAATTTGCATGTTAAATGTGAATCTGTATCATGGCCTGAGACTTCTGTGGAAGTAATGAGAATCTGTGTAATTTCTGCAGATGTTCTTCTTAATCCATCAGTGAAACCCATCGTGGTGCTCAGAGTGACCTTAATTTTGATTTAGTAGGTTGTCTGCATTGTAAACTTTTCCTTCCTTGTACAGTAATAGAGTTGTTGTGAATTCTTAAATAGTATCTTTTCCAGAATACCTGCAAATGTGGTGATGGAAAGTCATTTCGTCCTAGGTCCTTGTATTTCATGGGGTGAAAAAAGTCCAAGCCTGCCTTTGATGGCGACTCTCCCCGTTTTATTGAGCAGCGGTGCTTCAGGCTCAAGCTGAATTGCACAGCATAAGAAAGGAGCAGTGAGCGTTTGATGAAAGCAGATAATAAAACGCATCAATTTTGTCAGAACCTCGTTGCAGTCACATCTGGCTTGCTGTCAGGGTCCCATTAGATTCCGGGGGTTTTATGTGCCAAAAATAATACGCTGTGTAGTTAATGGAACCGGGGTATTTGCAGTTTGATTAAAAAAAATCATCTTATTTTCTTTCAGATCTTTGTCTGCCTCAAGTCCCGTATCTGGGCCGCCATGTCTCTTTAAAATTTTACGACTGAGAGATCAATTGTTCTTTTGATCTGTTTCTTTTTCTTTCTTTTTTTTTTTTTTTCTTGTTCCAGTGATTCTAGCAGTCTCAGCAGCACTGACGCTGGTTTGTTTACCAATGATGAAGGAAGACAAGGTACTGAAATACTGTTTTCTGTTCTCTTTGCGAAAGGTCTTCATTTCAAAGTTCTGCTTATTACTGGTTATTTCCAAGTTGACTGCTGCACTCCGTGTACATTATACACTGCTTAGCAGGTTGGGCCAGCACTGTAGCTGGGTTTTCTGCATGCCATGGAAGTGTCCTTTCCTCCTGACCTGGCAGTAATTGATTCTCTCCAAAAGCCAGTGTGTGGTGCTAATGATACTAGGGAAGGATTGTCTGCCCTGAAAAAGTTCCACATACCTGAGCCTTTTCCATTTTGTCTCTTAGTAAGTTTGCAAGACCCTGTTTCCCATTTTCTCTGATTTGAAGTGTGTTTAAAACTGTTTAAGCATTCATAAAGGTGGATTTGCAAGTCATTTGTCATTTTTATGCAGCTGTGACATTTATTCATCCTATCCAGTTTGTCAGTAACTAAATGACTTTCATGAATTCAGTATTATAAACTGTTCAAGAAGAATGTCTTACATCTGATATTTTCTCTCTTTGAAACTTCCTAAAGCTTTTCACACTTAACGAGGCATATTTTGAAGCAGTGAAAAATATGCAAACCTCGACAAGGGATGGAATCCATCGTTAATTGGATTAATTTCATTTAGTCACATCTATACATGGCTGTTTCGCCTCTTATACTCCAAACAAATCATGAATTTAAGCTAATACATGCAAATGCTTATCACAAAGCTTAGCTTCATTTCTTAAGAATATATTAAGAGAAAACAGTAAGTTCTAAGAGAAACATAATAGACTTACTTTAAATTTCATTTAATGTTGTGAAAGAAAGGACAATAGTTGCCCATACTTTTTTCCCTAGTCTGCTCATCAATCCCATGCAAGTAGTGTAAGGAGAATGATCATTCTGTTTTTGCTTGCTCATCAGTTTTTGTCCCAGATTTGTAGGTACATAACTTTTGAAGACCGTAACTTTTTCCCCCCCCCAAGTACTAGGTATTGAACCCAAGGGCATTCTACCACTGAGATACATTCCCAGGTCATTCTGTCTTTTAGTTTGAGATAGGATCTGCAGGCTGGCCTTGAACTTTTGATCTTTCTGCCTCAGCCTCCGTGGTAGATGGAATTACGGGCATGTGCCATAGTGCGTACCAGCCACAACTTTTCACAGTTGTGACTTTGCTGAAATGTGTTAGAATCTCAGTGGTAAAAGTATGCTTGCTTGATAGTATTCCTAACCTAAATTCTCATTGAAATGTGGGTCTCTAGCCAAGGTTACATTATAAATGTTGGTTAATAGTGAAATGAACTGATGATTTTTTTTTTTTTTTTTGAGACAGGGTCTTGCTGTGTAGTTCAGGCTAGTTTTAAACTCACTATGTATTCCAGGCTAGCCTCAAACTTGCAGTGATCCTCCTGCCTCAGCCTTCTGAGTGCTGGGATTATAGGTGTGTGCCACCACGCCCAGCTTGATGAAAGTTTTTTAAACACAACTTTTTGACAAGCTCACCCACCCTTCCTTGGAAAGCATTGCTTGGGTTAGCATGAAATGCAGCATATTTTGTGCACTTCCTGTATTTCATGCTGCTATGTGCTTTTTTATATTAGCTTACTTTGTTGTTTTGTTCTCTAACAAGCCTTGAGTTCTCGATCTTTTAAAATGAGCAGGCCTACGTTAATACAGTTGCAGTAACTGTCTCAGCATTACAGGACACTGGAATTCAGGTGGTTTGCCTGACTCTACCCCAAGTTCCTAGTCAGTGGCTGTTTGAGTCCCTCTCTGAGAGCAAAGTTGTACTTAAGACTGAAAAAGAAGAAGAAGAAAAACACTTCATTTTCTTAGACTAATCTTGTCTTAATAGAAATTATGCTTCAGGGTAGTCAATTTCAAGTGACTCCCTAGTTTTTATTGTGCTTAAGAACTATGCTATTTTAGAAATTAATTGTTAATTCTTCAATTGAAAGAAGCTATGACTTTATTTTCTTTCTTTTTTTTAGAAGCTATGACTTTAGTTTTACATTTGGTTTTGATATTTTCGCTCTCACTTTAGTTTAAATACAGCTCTTTTCCATAAAATAATTTTCAGTTGAAGCTTAAGGTATTTTATTTTGCCTTTAAGAATGTTTGTAGTAGTAAAAGGTTTTCAAAATCAGGAATCTCTTTCTCTAAAGGGAAAAAGTATCTGGCATCTGTTTGACCCTGTGAGAAAGCAGAACTGATGGTGGCTTCTAAGAATGGTGAGCTGACAGTAATGAGTCTCATGCTATCAGACTCAGCTGCAATTTGTCTCATTTCTAAAAGGCAACTGCAGTCTGTCTTTGTATCTTGAAATAGCTTTTAATAATCCATTTGTTTTAAAACTAAATGTTTTTCACCAACAGCCTGTGTCAACTTGAATTTTAAGTTGATCATTATTTAATGCTTACACTGGTAAATGTTCTCAAAAGCCAGCATAACTGAATAGTGGTCTTTGTGTAAAACAGCTTGTTCGCAGTAGTTCAGTATAGTTTGTTCATAAACTCCAGTATTGTCACTTTTCATTTAAAATCAACTTTTTCAAAACTATTTCTTAATGAATGTAATTGGATTAATTTCATTTAGTCACATCTGTTCGTGATTGTACCCCCTTTCCCCCTCCATACAAATCATGAAATTAAGCTAATTATATGCCATTATCAGCTACAAACAATGGATTCCACAGTTTTCTATTTTCTAATTCCTGGTAGATGACTAAGGGTTGATTTTTCTTAATGCGGAAAGGAGACTAATGTAAGTGGATTTCCCTACAATTTTTACTAAGCTAATTACTGTTTTCTTAATTTTTAAAGTGGTTAGAAGGCATAACATGTTGTGGTTTTGTTGGTGGCA